AGATTTTATCTAGAAATCAAAACGCATTAGCACATGTTGTACAAGAATCAATATCAGTACTCAATGTAAGTCGATTAGAAATTTCGGAAAATCGTCAACAAATAAATAAGTTAATTGATACAGTATCGAATGTAGAAGACTCGATCATTAATATCGCAAATCATCTAGAACAAGAAATTCGTGACGTAAGAACACTTATCATGTTATTCGCGAAAGTAAACATGGTCCTTGAAGAAATTAAGAACGCGCTCACAAGATCTATGTATTTCTATACGCATTTTCAAATACAAGTTCAAGCAATAGCGATGCAAAAGATATCATCAAATACTATTCTAGCAATGAATATGAGAAATGTTTTACTGAGTATACGCGAAGAATTACCCAAAAACTGTAGGTCTTCCTCACGATCTAAGGACACATCTATTTGAATATTATAAATTTCTAAAAAATGTCACAATCTTTTAACCTTTATCCCATTAGTCGAATATTCTTATCAGTTCGATATTTTTCAAGCATATTCACTTCCAGTTCCATTGGTTAATAGACAGGAAGTTGAGAATAATAACAAAGATCTGTTAGCTTATTATAAATTAGAGAGTGAATTTGTCGCAATTAATTCCGACAGGTCAAAATACATTCTCTTAAGTAGATCGCAAGTAAGCGAATGTAATGAAGCAGGTTTAAAAATATGCAATATCCGAAACCCAATTAGGAATGTGAACGTTGGTCACAATTGTTTAATTAGCAATTTCAATCAGGATAAAGAAAAAGTTAACAAGGTATGCGATGTATGGATTCATCAGACGCGCTTACCTACTGCTTATTACTTGTCAAATGACGTCTATTTAGTAATTACTAATCAGCCAACTATGTTTCACTTGACTTGCAAGGATCAGAGACAAAGTAGTCGAATTTCAGTTGATCCACCTTTCAGTTTTATAACATTGAGAAGGTCATGTCAAGCGACTTCAAACGACTTTACTTTAATTGGTTATTTTGAAAATAAAACGGAAAAAACAATTGACAATCCGGCAGCATTAATGTTAAAAGACTATAACTTTACTGACATTCGAGTTTGGGACGATATAAATGGGGTTATTATATCGAATAATAATTCAATCAAAATTCCAAAGAAACTGTCGAATCTAGAAGATTTTCCATTGAACAATCTCGTTAATGATTTAGGTAGTAGAGACAATTTAGAACCCATAGACATCAATCATAATAAGACACTGACTTGAGTAATTGTGATAGTCTCATCACTGTTTGCATTAGTTGTCTTGTTGTGTTGTTATAACAGATTTCAATTAAAATTTATACAAAAAATTCTCTACATTTCTAATGAAAAGCCTAAAACGAGAGAAAGCATACAGGCATTACCAATGACAATGAACTCTGTAAAAGGAAACGAACCAGAAACAACTACGTATTTTGTTCCAGCGAACGAAATCAGTCCTACGATACCATCTGTTTCAAACGTCATAAAGAAGAAGTTCAACGTGTTAGATTCAAAACAGTAGAACATTTGAAGCGTAAAGGAAATAATGTCGAGAAAATCCGAAAACAATCAGAACATACCAAATCCAATCAATAATGTCATCGTAATGAAAGACAATTACTCATCGATGAACAATAATAACAATAACAATAGTAAAAAGGTGTATCCAGTATACCTTGTGCCGAACAAAAACAATTCCATTGTGAAAAAGAAGCTTCAGTTACTGTAATAAAAAAGGCGATATAACAACTACTTTGTAAATTATTCATGTATTTCACTTAAACTTACGATACCAGCTGAAATTATGTTACGTTATGAACTTTCTGAATTGATACCCAGTGATGTTAGTATAATTTCTTTGCTAATCACTCAAAAACCTTAAAATAAAGGAACTTCGAGTAAACTAAAATTATGATATGTTTGTTTAGATGGATATGTGGACCTCCAGATGATTTATCGTTATCGTGAAACTTAGGCTTTATCTGGTCATAACTCCTCAGGCCAGCCTGGTCATAACTCGTCAGGCCTGGAAGGGACAGGTCAACACTCATTCTATGGATAGGCGTTCGTTACAGATGAAGACCGCGAGTGATGGACACTAATATATTTTTAACATTATCGATGGATCATTATTAAATAGTGACATTGACTATTTTAAAGATAAGATTATAATAAAAAGTGACTCTTACTTCATAAATGTAGATAATTATGTATTAATTAAGATGTTCATTACTGAAAGTAAATATTTCATTAATGAAGTTTTCAAATTCATTACTTTGTTTCACTTTTACTAGTATATGATTAATTGTTAAGTTTCACCTGTATGATATTTATTATGTAATTACTTGTTTCATAATGCTTAGGTGATTTCAAACGGCGAAGTGCTTTTATTGTAGGAAATTATATTCAAACTTGGTTTTCATAGATAATTTCCAGTTAGTATGAGGGGTATGTCACAATATCAAGGTCATCATATAGTAACATGTTTATTATTTTGCAAGCTAGAGTGAACACAGACAGGTCACCTCATTAGGACATAGTACAATGATATGTCTGTCTAATGGAACTAATCAAAGTTACCATCCCATAATTAGTGACTAGGTCAAGCTCTTACAAACCCATTTTGAGTTCTTATCTTCAATTGTCCAAATTTTATGTCTTAGTAATTAAAAATTCTGGCCGGTCAAGTTTTGGCAAAACTTCAAAAGTGAAGGCTCATCATAGTCATGCAACTTTGACTCGCCCACGTGACAGACTGGTTCCTCATCTTTTTAAATCATTTCTTATAATAATTGATTGAAGCTTTTGTAAGGGAAGAGATCCAAACTCCCCGTGTTCATTTTCGATACGTATATATATGATGTCACAAGCCTGCAACGGCAGTCCGACTCTTTATTTCGATCAGTACACTTCTCACTGTAATTAAAGCTTTCGACTTTCGAACATTGTAACATTGTTTAGATAAATACGTAAACGCGAAGTACTACAATTGTAACATAAATATTAAAGACTTAGGAAACTTTCTTTTGTGTTATTAATTGACTTAAACCACTATACGACATTATCATTAGGCATCGTCGCTCTTTCTAGCAAATAAAGTTTTTCATGAGAAGTGTGCTAGTATCAAGTTCAAGATAATTAAATTCTCATTAGATAGTACATACCTCTGATAGAAATGTGAAATTGAGCAATTGGTCATTATTAGGAAATTTGCATGAATTACATTAAGAAGATTATTGAAAGAGAATGTGAATTAAATGACGACAAATTATCGGCAATTTGTGAAATAAATGTGATATCACTAAATGGATCAGTCTTTTTAAAGAGTTATATCATAGATCATCAGAAAATCTTGATAATATACAAAAGGAAAAATTAAAACATTAAAAATTAGAGAAAAACAGAATACCTAAAGTCCCTTTAGAAAGTCCAAAATAGCAAAATTGAAAATATTGCAGCCTCTGTTTGATTGAGCCTGTTCATAAACGGTACTAGAAAGTGCAAGTTGTTACCGTCTAAGCCCCTAAGCACCAGCTTAAGCAGAATTCAACATTTTGACACAAAAATGTTGAAATTTGAATTTAGAAAATCCGCAGATATGTTCAAACGTCGGTTATTATGGAACCTTCAATGTGACACAGTAGTGCCATTTTATGAAAAGCGGCGTATGGTCACAAAGTAAAAGAATGTGTGTGCCCTAAACGAGAAGATAATGGGTGGAACTAAATAAAATGGAACTTTGAAAGGGATCTGAGGTTATGAAGCCTACATATCACAGATCAAAGACGTCAAAAGACAAAGTTAAAAAGCTTACAGCATATCCTAAGGGTAATTATACAGTTTCAAAGTAGAATAACTGGAACCACCCAAGTTTAAAAAGGCCAAATAGAAGAAACTTAAAGTGCCTTCTTGGTGTCCTACTTGGATTTGTCTGGGGGCAGCGTCCTGTGAACGTTGCCTTTACCTTGTTGATCTTTATTCTTGTTATTTTAAAATACCACATAACATGTAAACACAACGATTATGTCGTACTGAACAATCTTCAAGGATCGAAAATATACCATCTTTGATTAAATTTACGGGGAGACCTTTTACAGCCGCCACACGGCACAAATAACACTGATGTGGCCCAATCTGACTAAAGTTCAGATGTTTCGCCTTCTTGATAATTCGGATATCTCGCGAAAACTTTTTTTAGGCATGCAATTAAACAGGTTTTTACATAGGCATTAGAAAAAGTATCCAAAAACCGTTATCCACGGGAGTTAAATTGTTTGTTTGTTTTTTTTAAGAAAAAATATGTTTGAAGTTATTTTTAATAAATTAACTTAAAATAATAGTGTCAATCTTTAATTGACAAGATTGTTATGCCAATTTACCTGTTAGCTATATGAACCACGGCAAGTTTATTCTCGAAATCGTGACAATTTCCTTCTCATTTATTTATTTATTTATTCTTTTTTAATGATTTGTAAAATAATTGAATGTCTGCTTTTAGACAAAGTAAAATTTCGAGTGTTGCCTTGGGCGGCGGTGGCTTTCTTTTGTCTTGGTCTCACACCAACACAGCTTTCATGCGATTTCTCTCTGTTTGTTTTCTGCTGTCAGTTAGGACACTGGTTACAATTTTTGATATTGATTGTTTCATAATTTAATATTCTAAGAAGTTTAGCAATAATAGATTTTTTATTTTTGAAAATTTTTATTACGGTAAACAATCATCAAAGGCGACTTTCTTAAATCAATAGGTTGTGGTGCATCTCTAATTGTTTTGTACGAGTATATATTTATTTCTTATGTATTTCTATTATGTCATGTTTTATACCTTCCTTTTGTTAGTCCATTTTTATATTCTTTCTATGTTCAATATGATTACATCGGTTAAATCGTATGGTCATTTCATTTTCATCTTTGTATGGTACATTTTATTAGTTTGCATCAGGGTATTTCAAAAAGAATCTCTCTTTAAGAGACAATGTCTAATAAAAACTTTAAAACTTGGAACATTTTGTAAATCATTTATTATCCTTTTCCCAATTAGTAAAACCAGCACACTTTCATATTTAAATTTATGTATATACATGTTGATTATCACATGTTCTATCTACATTTACGAACTACTTTCTAAAACAAACTTCTTAAATATTTATGAATTCATTGAACAGTTTTCATTTCCTCAACAACTTCCTAAATATAAGCTTTAGAATTATCTCCGGCTCAACGTATACATCACTTTCAGTGCTTTGATTAACATAACGATTCGCTCATTGGCAATTACATTGCTGGTGTCACAGGTTTAATGGGATGGCAATCTTTTAGATGTATGTGGCAGATTAACGACCATAAAGCCATATCGTGATGATATTCATCTGGTTAATGCGATGTATCCTGCGTCACCTAGTTATAACATTTGTCTCTGTTGTTATAAATTACAATCACTTGATAACATAAACATTGATTTTTTGTTATACGCATATTTTACATCTGGGCGTGGTAATTCATGTCAAGATGATCATATCAATATAGTGTGTCAACTTACAGAAGATGCAATGTCGTAGTCTACCAGGACATAAATAACTATATTATATTAATTACACCAAAGTTCTAACGTTCAGCTTCTGTACTACGTAGATATTACCAGTTATAATATTTAACATAACAGCAAGCCAGCGAATTGAAGATTACAACTTGTAATAATAGCAAAAAGACAGCGTTTATAAATAACATAAGATGATATGAAGTATTGCAGACAACAACACGCAAAAGAATGTCAAACATCATACATTCAAATGTATTTGTCTGTTGTATTAAAGATATTTTCTGAACCTAACAATGAAACTCGGTTATGAAGGATTTGATTCAGACATCTTTATCTTCAGCTGTTTGTTGATATCTCTTGCATCGGAAACGCATTCGTCTAATAGGGACCTTAAAATGGAAACAGTGCTACCGTAAGATATCCCTGCCGCAATAATACTTCCAAGTACAGGAAGAACAAAAGCTGTAACTTTCTCTGCACATTCTGAAGCAGCAAGTGTTGTCGCAAAATGAGAAATCATTGCTACAGTCGCGCCTCCTGTTCTCAAACCTCCTTTTACATTGTCGAAAGCTTGTTTAAGTGAGCTTGCCGTTTTCTTCAATGATTCATCATTAATACCAAACTGTTGTTTGTAAATATCGACTTCTTTCATAATAATTGCTGTATCTACAGCAAGACTCGCTCCTGGCATAGGGACGGTTCCGCCAGCTGCTGAACCTAGTGCTACTATCAGTATTCTTTTTCTAAGTGCACGTCTTTTTCGATTTATAAGATCTTCTGTGAGAGTTGTCATTGTTAATGCCATTGCTTCCTGTTTCCATTTTGGCGCTTCTTTAATCATGTCTTCTATGAGTTTTGGAAAATCATAATCCTGATCTGAGCGGTTGTCGATAAGGTAAACCTTGACATTTTCAAAACGTTTCTCTGTAACTTGTTGTGTCATATCTTCTTGTATTTCTTTAACTGTTTCAGATTTACTTTTTCCGTAATCGTTTTGGTTATTCTCTACCTCTGTATTCATTTTTGTTCGGATAAAAAAGAATTTTTTCTTAAGATTTTGGACTTCTTTTGCTAACCAAATATCGTTTTCGGTAAAACGGTTCGCTGTTATTATTAGAAAACAATCATACTTCTCAAAATCGACTTTTTCTAAATATGTTTCTTTCGGAAATTTCTCTGTACCTATCCCCGGAAGATCCCAAAGTGCAATATTGTTATTGTTTGGGTGCATGTATTTAGTTGGTTCCAAAGTCGTTTCATTTACGCCTACCGCAGCTGCGTCTTTAGACATTGCTTTCAGTCCTCTAAAACTGTTTATAAACGACGACTTACCAACCCCTGAATTTCCTGTGACAGCAATGTTTACAGGTATATTCCTCCACTTGTCAATATCTGCATCAATTTTTTTATTTAATTGTGACATTCCGCCACTTTTAAAAGCTTCTTCGTACTCAGCAGCTGTTTTTTGGTCAAATTCGTCGATGTCTTTCAAAGCTTGCGGCATATGCTTACTTCTGGATGTACCCATTTTGTTGAAAGATAAATAACAACCTGAAAATATGGTTAAAACTTTACAAAATGTTGAAATTGTACTACCATTCATAAATATATTTGTCTCATGATCAGTAATTTTGATAAATATAAAAATCATTTACATTTTCCCGGCACTTAACAAATGAAATCCTTGAGTGCAAGAGATTAACAGAAAAAATAACGAATCCAGAACGAGTGAATAACATCCATGAGTTGTTGTGTCAGAGTGTAGTTTATTTCTGAATTTAGGTATAACTTCCATGTTTTAAGTATAGATGTATGTGCATAGTTTGTGTCTCAGTAACATTGATTTCATCGCTTATCAAAAGATATGAAATAACAGTATGCTTTACGAAAAGACTCTATTTATTTCTCCAGGATTTGAACAATCCTGTTTAAACACGCAATTATAAATGTTACTGACATTCACTTTCTCCAGATTTATTACATTAATTAATTAATTAATTAATTAATTAATTTATTTGTTACTTATTATCAATATGTTTGCTTGTTTTACAATATTGTTAAAATGTTTCGTTATCAAGAACATTTAAATTTTCATTTATAAGTTTTATAAGTTGATTTCAGATTGTCCAGTAAACGTTCATCTGTATGTCATTTCATTTGTAATGCCGTTTAACGAATGCCTTTTGTCATGCATGTAATGCGAAGTGACGCGTAAAAAGAATCTGTCTCAAAGCACGTGCAACAGGCATACATGTTATGAACGGCGACGACGTTTCTGTAATGATTATAAATGCTCAATCAGGAAAATAACCATTACACCAGAGATCACCATGATAAAAGTATGAACCAACAAACAAGACATACATCTTAAGGAGGGGCGCTGTATTGGAACAGTAATACGGAATTCCATAAACGACAGCCTACTGCTCACTGCCTACAGCTAACTGGACAGCCTGCTGCTCACTGCCTACGGCTAACTGCTTATTTAAGTCTAAATTTATGTATGGATCGAATAGAAGTAATCCGAATGTACACACATGTGCGCCCGCCGTTTTGTTGAAAAAAATATGCTGAAGTAAAATTTGCGGAAAACAATGGTAAGTAAATTAAAAAAGATTATTTTATAATTAAGCGTAATAATTTGAATTTAGAAATTCATTACAATGACTTGTGTACGTCTCACCATTGCACACTGCTTTGATTCTGTTATGAAATGGTTCCATGTGCCTCTTGCACAGGTGATTGATAAATTGTCAAATATAGGACTCATTTTAGGGTAAATCAACTTAATAATAAAGTATTCAACAATCAACATTGACGGGCTTGAGCCCACTATTCCTCGGTTGAGAGGCGGAGATCTGGACCATTATGTCAACACTCCCTTATTTTATTTAATTTCATAGTTTATTAATACATTTCTAGAAGAATATCTGTAATATACTGGTGAAATTTAGGCTAAACATTTTCTCATAAAATGTGTGAGTTCATTTACGAGATCATTTTGGTTCAGTTTTCATTGGCTGTTAGTAATAGCTTATAAATGTGTAATACTATTCCTTATTAGATGTTATGTAATGCATTTTTGATAAGTTGATTGCACTCTTGATAGTTTATGTTGCAAAGATATGTGCTTTGAAGGTTAATTAAAGAATCAATTTTATCCTAGTACAGAGGATGATGAATCTGACAGAAACATTTCAATGGAGGTACAGCCTATACTTTCATTGACTTAACAGACAAGTAACACAACCAATACAGCTGTATGAAAATATTGAAATTACAATGGAAGAAGAAAAGGACTACATAAATGTATTGGTTCTTATAGACGAGTTTAACTCGGGTTCCTTCTGAAAGCATAAACAAAGACAAACGTTCAATTTTCAATGACATAAAGAGTGCAAACATGAAGTGATAAATTACAATTTGGATCAGCTTAATTTACTTTTATGAAAAGCCATTGTTATTCTCTTGTTAAAATTCAGTTGTGCTATTGAAAAACTATTGAAAAATAGTTGATTCTTAACTATTTAAATTTACTTTAAAATTTCTGATAAACAAAATGATCATGTTAATGTTACAATATATTTTTGATGTTTTTGTTAAAAATCCATCTTTTATATAATTTTGTAATTATCTTGTTAACAAACACACTTAAAAGTGAACTTTAAGGTTGGTTATTTTTTCAATTTCTTTTTGCAATTACCGCAAGCAAAACCAATGAGCAAATCTGCCTTCGTATTTGCCAGAATCATCTAATGAAAGTCATTACTATTTCTATCTGGGTTCTAGAGGTTTGACAACTAAGGTTACATCGTGATAGTGTAGAGCTTCTACGGTATATTATGAAGCAGTTTTAAGTTACCTTTCTTACAACTTGTATATCACTGTATATTGCAAAACATATTAATTTTACATTAATATAATCTCATAACAATAAATTAAATACAATTCATAACAGAACTTTTAATTATAATTCTGCTTTTATACTAATTACTTTCCCCGAAATTTTACAAGTATTCTATATAGATGTTGATTTTTTACAAGCGTGTCATAATTTTTATTTTTTAAATAACGGTGTATACAAGAAAAAATTAGCTTACTGGTCTCATTATTGAGAAATAAACATACTTTTAATGTGGTGTTATAATCAATAAGTGTTTTGTTTTTGTTTTAATTGTAAATAAAAAAGTTTTTTAAAAATAAAATATCATAATTTTCTTGTAATTTTGTTTGTGTTTAGCTTCCCGGAAAAACAAAATTATGCCAAAATGAATTGAAATTGGTTATAAATATGTTAACCATAAAGAAATGTTGGTTTGCTGAATGTTGTAACATGACCAAGTTGGAAAAAAACAATATTCAACATTGTCCACATTTAAATAGTGTCTTAGTCCATCAATTTTAAAAGCATAGGATCGCCACAAGTATGTATTAGGAAGATGAAGATTACGTTATATTATTAGTTCTATAAGAAATACATCTATAGCTCCAATATCTTGCAAGTTTACAGAATATTTTTCTTCAAAACAGCTTTGCAAGTTAACCTAAACACTGTTTTCTTAAGACAATGAAATAAAAAGACGTCAGTACAGCAATATATTGATTAATCTGTTTTCTATCCTGTGGTTTTAATGCCTTTATCATAAGTTACTGCAAAATCTAAGAAATTACATGCGGAAGGCATTACATTGACTCAAATTTAGGATATCGCAGTTCATTATATCTTTAAACAAATTCTAACATTCCTTTATATTAAAAAATATTGCCCACGTAATGCATCCACTGTCCAATTATAACACAATTATTGACAAATTAGTCAACACGCTTCTGTCGAATATTTTTTAACATCAACTAAAGTAACATTTTCTTGAGTGAAATCTATAAGGCTTTTAGGAATTATGGTATAAATGTACATTCTACAATCACCAGAACAAGTATTAACCTTTTAGATCGAACTAAACGGTTCCATGTATGATTTGGACTATCATGTGTGTATACTCTTACAGTACATATAAGATTCATCAGAATAAACTACTGGATTTCCGAGACGTGACTAGTATATTTTGTCTGTAATTCTATAGATCTATGTTTTGGGCACCATTGTCTAGATCATTTTTTAACAAAACATTATAGCATTATTTTCAAAATGCGAACATAAAACACCGACCGTGGTAATTTAAATGTAAAAACAACGACATTCATGACATTACAAGGCCTCCGTTTAAAAAATAGCATTAAGCTCTATAGTTATAGGGTAGGGTCAATATCATTTAATGAACAAATATTGTAATTTACATGTTAGTTTGTTTTTGGGTTTTACGTCACATCGACAGAGTACAGGTCATATCGCGACGTTCCAGCTATACTGGTAAAGGAAGACCTCAGGTGTCCTTCCGTGAATTATTTCAGGCACGAACGGGCACCTGAGTAGAACCACCGACGTTACGTAAGCTAGCTGGATAGCTTCCTGACATGAAAGAATCCATAGTCCCTGTCGGAATTCGAACCCAAAGCGGTGAGGGGCTAGTGGTTTGAAGTCAACGACCTTAACCACTCGGCCACGGACGCCCCTAATATACATGTTATATGGTAGACGTATCTAAATGACTGTCTTTTACAAGCTTGAACAGGGATAAACATGTATAAATAATTAAGCAAGCAGTTATATTTGGTAGCTCTAAATTAACGAACAAGATTTTATGACAGAAAAAACTTGTAATATTTGGTTTGATAACATTTTTATAAAAGTTACAGGTCTATGATTAGGAAAAGTTCCAGATGCCTGCAAAGATATATATTTAATTTTCTGCTTAGTTAAACGAGAATTATACATGCACATGTATAAATGTAACGAGTTCCAAGGTTTCAGTCAAAGTCTTCATAAATGTTACAGCGTAATTCCTTGACCAATACTGTTTCAAACGGCTTCATTGTAACATATTAACACATTGTAAGAAGAACATAAAAGCCAACATTTACTTTCAGGCAATTACTCGGGTATTTGACAGGTGTAACAGTTGGCATTTATCAATGAACAGTATAAGCAATAAACAGTCGCTGTAAGCATTAAGCAGTTGAAAGTAAGCAGTTGACAGTAGGCAGTAAGCAGTCGACAGTAGGTAATTGACAGTAAACAGTAGGCTGTCGTTTATGGAATACCGTACGGTTAGGATCCTAAACAGTGCTAGGGAATTTAAACAGGTTAATAGTACACCAAATTTCACTCTTAGTCTCAACATGTTCTTTTTAAGCGAGACAAGTGTAAAAATTAATCCCTGCCAAGTTAAATCCTAACAGTTGCTATAGTTACAAAAGGTGAACAATTGAAACACAGAAATGATCGTGTAGATGCATATAAAATTAAACCCAATGACCATAACCAAAGTACTCTTTGTCGTAAAGGAAGCAAGAAAATCACCTAATAGAGTTAGACAAAGCAAGGCAGAAGACGAGCATTAAGACAATTCAGCCCCAAATGGCTTGAAGAACTGTCCATAAAGACCACCAGACGTAATCAAACAAGAGGGCCATGATGGCCCTAGATCGCTCAC